TTCTAGCCATCCTTTAATAATCCTTACATGATGTATTAAATTTCTGGACTCTTTATGTCTTTGACTTTAATCCCATTTTGAAGGAAGTTCTCTATTAAAGAATTAAGCTGGTTGTAGTCTGATTTTATTAGAGCATGTGACTTAAGTCACTATCCTTTTTTTTTTCCCTTGGGGATACGATTTGATGAAAAACAAAAACCACAAGCCTTTCCTCTGTGCATAAGATACCTATTTGAGACACAAAAGGAAATCCAAGGACCCAAAGTAGAAGAGCAAATGCAAGATCTGTTTCTGAAGTGGTGCAGACTAAACCCAGAGTCACCATCGACTATGGCATGGAGACCTAGGGATATAACAAAGGAGCCTCAGAGACCAGAGGCAAGGAGATCATGAAACAAAACAGAGAAGCAGTGGCAGGACTATGGGACTGTGAGGCAGAGTGACCAGTAGGCTTCCTGGCCCATGAATGCAGAGGTCAAGGGGCCATGCAGCTGACAGGTGGAAGAACAGAGATAACTTGGCTGCTGGATGCAGAGTGATGTTGGACCAATGTTGGACCAATCAGTGTTTACTGATCCTGACTTGTGGCAACTTGTTGACTCTGCTGATAAAACTCCCATAGTTAAAATTGATTGATATTTTCAATTCAACACACAGACAATGAACATGGTCTGTGAATTCTGTGTGGTCATTGCAACAAACCCGGCACAGACACAGAGAGCGTGGGAGGAAAAGTTGGGAATAGGTAAAGGCTGGCATGTGGTTGTATGTCCGACTCCTGCCTCTGGGCAATCGGGAAGCCACCGGAGGTCATATATGGTCCTCCAAGATGTTTTACATAGTATTTAAAGTATATATGATATCTGTAAGTCATTTCAGGGAATTTTTTCCAATATGTTGTATCTGGTTAATTCATATACTTTGAAGCCTGCAAGAAACAGAAGCTGTGTAAGGCTAAAACATGTCAGAAGAAAATTTTAATATTTCCCATAAATATGTACCATCAAAGTCAGAAAACTTAGAAAAACAAAGCATTTTTATAAAACTCTAGTTGTCAAGGTTTCATAGAATATACACATAGATCAGAATTATTTACAAATACTCACACTAACTTTTTATTTTCACAATTTCTCACAATACTTGTCTTCTACTTAGTGTAATAAAATAAAGTTCTCACTTTTAATTACCACTACTAAATATTGTGTTTATATGCTTATATTTTATTTCTCTCTCTGAACTGGTGATCGAGTCAAAGCATTGGCCTTCTGGTTAGCAGCTAAGTACTTAGCTATTGGGCCATATGATCCTTCACTGATCTATAAAGAATACTTATTTTACATAATCCCCAACAATTAATATTTTTCAAGGTATACTTAAAATAAGTTAACTTTATTTCACTCAGTACTCTATGAGATGCTAGAAAGAGGAAAAATCCCTGACCTTCCAGGCTCCACAATATGCAGACACACAAACACATGTCAAAAGGACTATCCTTTTTTTGAGCAAACATTATTTTAAACAACATACCTTTCAAGAACACTTGAACTCAACTTGAGCATTCACTAATCTAATACTTTCAAACAGTGATGCATCTTGAACATAAATGAACAAAAAACATTAATAATGTCTTTTATCCTTTCACTTATGGAGATAAAAATGGTTAATTAAACAGGAAAGGGCTCAGCCACTGTTGGCAAAGATGAGAATTTAAGCCAATACTGTGGTAACTTTTTAATGTGTATAATGGTACAAAAATTATCCTCTTAAAACTAACGTCTTCCATGACATCCCTTGCTGACCTTTAGCGCTAAGGGGGACAACACTAGAGACACAGTATGGGAATTGCGCCCAATCTGATGCCACCACACTCAGGCGAAACACTAAGGGCATGCAACAGAACAGCAAGGGGAGCAGAGCAAGGAAGTCCCCAGGGAATACCAAAAATAGACTTTGGGGCCATGGCGGGGCACTCCATCAGACTCAAGGGGCACTCCATGAGACTCAACTGGAAAAACACACTTAAGGTCAACAAACAGACCTTAAAATATTTACAGGTTTTTCTTTTGTGTCATTGGTTTCTTTTGTTGTTGTTGTTTTCTTTTGTTCTTTGTTTTGCTCTGTCTTGTTTTTTGTGCATACTACTATCTCTGCAGGTTTATTAGAAAAGACAGGTGGGATAAACAATCTGGAGGAGAAAACATCACAACTACGGTTCCAGGGGGACATGGGAGAGGGGGAAGTGAGGGTAAGAAAGAGGGTGTTAAAAAACCCAGGGGAAAAGGAACAACAAGTGATCCAAAATCGATGGTGAGGAGGATGTAGGAGGTCTGGTTGGGCTTGATCAAGGGCAATGTAGCCTAGAGGAATTACTGAAAACCTAATGAAGGCTGAGCATGATAGCTGGACAAGAGGAAAAGTAAAAGGAAATAGAGGAAAGATCTAGGAGGCAAAAGGCATGTATAGAGGCCTAAATACAGGCATGTGCATATGTAAATATATTTATTTGTGAGGATAAGGAAATAGATCTATGTGCATATATTATAGGTTTAGTATTAAGATAGCAGATGGACATCTGGCCTCTACTCAAATACTCCCTCAATGCAAGAACACTGTCCTTTTAAACTGGCATTCCATGATACTCACCTTCCCAATAGGATCGCTGAAGAGAAAGCGGGTACACAAGCAAATGTGAAGAAAGCTGATGGAGCCCGGCTATCAAAAGACATAACATCTAGAGTCTTAAAGACTTGAAGGTAAACAAACAGCCATCTACCTCAGAAACAACAACACACCATGGAAGAAGCACACCAGCCTGTGTGATCACAAGGTGTAGAAGGAATCAGGTATCAGGCATCAAGGAACAAAAAAATCAAATCATTATGAATGAGGGGGAATGCAGATTGGAAACCCAAGACCCATCTGTAGGCAATTGGACATCTCCTTATAGAAGGATCATGGGGAGGAGACGAGCCAGTCAGGGTGCAGTGTAGCAATGATGAAACACACAACTTTCCTCTAGTTCCTAAATGCTTCCTCGCCCCCCACCGCTCCACCCACACACTATCATGATCCCAATTCTACCTAACAAAACTAGCTAGACCAGAGGATGTACACTGGTACACATAGAAACTGGAAACACAGGGAATCCAGGACAGATGATCCCTTCAGGACCAGTGTTGAGAGTGGCAATACTAAGAGGGTGAAGGGAGGGTGGGGTAGAAAAGGGAAACGATTACAAGGATCTACAGATAACCTCCTCTCTGGGGGATGGACAACAGAAAAGTGGGTGAAGAGAGACTTTAGACAGTGTAAGATATGACAAAATAATAATAATTTATAAATTATCAAGGGTTCATGAGGGAGTGGAGAGTGGGGATGAAGGGGAGGGAAATGAGAAACTGATACCAAGGGCTCATGCAGAAAGCAAATGTTTTGACAATGGTGATGGCAACAAATGTACAAATGTGCTTGACACAATGGATGTATGTATGGATTGTGACAAGAGTTGTATGAGCCCCCAATAAAATGATTTTTTTGAAATGTCTGCCTTAAGCATTGTGTTCTTTAAGAACCATCTACATGGGGTCAAATTGGCAGCAGCAACTCAAAAGATTAAACTGGAATCCTAGGGGGCAGTGAGTGCATATTAATGCAGAGGAATGTCTCAAAAGAAAAGGGTGAGGGCGACTGCCTAATTCAAAAAGTGGTCATCAGTGTTAGTGAACTGTATCTATAGAAGTTACTGAATTGGTTGTTTTGCTGTGTGTATTCTCAACAGCAACCAAATAATTTCTCTTTTAAAGGACAAGATGATACAGAGAAGCATATAATAATTTAATCTACTATAGAGAATTATTAAGAGACTTTGGGATGAAGAGATGTTAACCGTCACTAAGTTAGACATGCAAAAGGTGGTTTGTACTATAGAGAGAGTAGGGAGGGAAAAACATTCCAGACTGGGAAAACAACATGCATGAAGTCTTGGAGCTAAAAAGAAAGTAGATGATCCTCTAAATACTAAAAATAAAAGATAAAAATAGAGGAGCCCTAGAAGAGAGTAGTAGAAACAGAATTTCAAGGGATAAAGATAGAAACAAGGGCCACACTACAATTTTAAAGGTGTCCTAAACCAAAACCAAAACCAATCTCATTGCCATTACATCAATTCTGACGCAAAGCAACCCTACAGGACAGAGGACACTGCTCCATTGGCTTTCCAGGGCTGTAAATCGGTATGGAAGCAAACCGCCTCATCATTCTCCTGCAGAGCGGCTGATGAATTGGAACTACTGGCCCTTGTGGTTCAAAAAGTCCAACACATAGCCCACTACGGCACGAGGCTCCA